GACTCCTATGACTCCTCTGAAGGAGGTACTAGAAGGAGACTAGTGAAGGAGGCCACCAAGACATGAATGTATTCATTGTTTGCAATCACTTGTTTTGTTTTGGTGATAAATCTTTTATTAAGTCATTTCTTTGGGCAACGATGATTGTAGATGAAATAATTTGCCATTTTTTTCTTTGGTTTAGCTGCTAACAACCAACAGACAAACAGACAAGAGAAAACAGTCCAGAGACCTCCATTTGTGGTGTCGTTGTATAAATACTTCACAGCTGTGGGTCAGTGAGGGAGTTCCAGCACAACACAAGTTTAAGGAAGAATCAGGCCATTTAGTTTGTAAAGAAAGAAACTCCATACGGTACAGTTTGACTCAGTGTTTATTGGATCATGTATAATCTGCATGCAGTGAAGATTTCCTTGAACTCTCAGGAAAACTGGTGATTAATGATCTGTCTTGTCAAAGCCTAAAATCTATCTGATACCAAACCTGCAGGTTGAGCTGTGTTCACGGCTCAGGAATAAATGTATCATCAGAAACACGCATGATTTGAGAATAAGTGTAGATTATATGCACAATAACACAACAATATAATAAATGATGACCATGTGATCGCCAACATTATCTCCCATTAAGCCCATACCTAGAATAGAATAGAACTTTATTGATCCCTTTGGTGCAAACCTCAGGTCCTTGAACTTGAAGCAAAGCAGTAATTCAGTGTCACTAAAGCTGATCTGATATCAAACCTGCAGTTTGAGCTGTATTCAAGGTTCAAGGTTCAATTTACACACATTGATATAAACCCTGAATCTGCAGAGCTCGCATCCCCATGAACCCACACCAGACTCATAAAACAGGAAAATATGTGATTAGAAAACAGTAAAAAACCTCTTAAGTCCTCAGAATCAACATGTTCTGTGGTTTATAGCTGTGTGGTGAAAACCACAACGTCTCTGGTTCAGATCCAACCAGGGCTCTTTGCATTTCATCACTATGATCAATAAAAGTAAAAGAAAAACTCACAACAATAAAAACAAAATCAAAGAACAAATCAAACTGAAGCATTGAACAGGACATCGGAACCAACTGGACCAAAGTGGTTGAGACCAGACCCAGAGCATCGTGGTGACTCAGTGGTCCCTCAGAGATGTTCAGAGAAGACCAGACCTCTGCTGCTTCTGTCCACTGGTGGAGGCTGAAACAGAAACCAGACGGACAACCAGCAGGTTAAAACACTGAACACTGATGGAAGACGGTCACAGCAGTCAGGACTCAACGTCGGCTTCAACAGCGTGAGGAACACTGGACCAGTGGATCAGTGGAACACCAAAGCTGGTTTAGTTGAAGGCTCAGCTGTAGCAGCAGCTTCCCTCAGATGTTCGTGTGCATCAGCTCTGCTCTAGTTAAAGGTGTTACTGACATTGTTTAGGACAACAGTTCATAATTATGGTTCTTTAGAAATATTATACTTACAACAATTAGTGACATCTATTCTTTTGAGCTGCGTTTCAGTTCTTTGTAGTATTTCTTCACCTCCTCAAGTTCTGCTAGAACATCTAAAAGAACAAAATACTTCTTAGACATGTTGACTTCTTTAACAGCGATGGTGCATTTACAGGATTCTTAGAGTTTGTACATAAATGACATGACTTTGAAATGTTCCTGTTACCTGGGATTGAGGTGTCATCTGTCTTCAGTGAGTGCTCAATGGATTCCTTCAGGGTTTCCTGCAGCGTCTTCAGGATTTCCTCCTAATTCAGAATCAAAATCTTTATCACTCCTCACAGAGTGTTGAAGATTAACTGAATCACAGATGAACAGACTGGAAAAGGACCAGTGACTCTCTACTGTAGATCCCTGTATGTCTGTGATTAACAATTACTGCTAAACGAATGCAGTTCATTAGTCGCTTATGAATCTTTCAGAAAGACACATTTTCCACTTAAATGCAGAAAAAGCCTTCATGTAAACGTGTGTTTTCAGCCTCATCATAGTTCATATAATAAAACAACAAACCTTCAAGTCATCCAGCTTCTCCAACATGGCAGCTTTAGCCTCTTCAAACATCGTGTCTTTTGAGTCACGTACATGTTGTTCAATCGTCTCTCTCATGTTTTTCAATGGTTCACCTCCACTGAATGCTGCTGCTTCTACAGTAAAACAACAAATGATTGTATGATGTGAATTTAATGCCCATTTCTGATGAATGTAAACATGTATAATCACAGTCAGAGGCTGTATGTCATCAGTGCATTTCTTACTTTCATAGCACTTCTGCATGTTTTCCTCTATTGTCTCCGTCAGACTGTTGTAGATTGTTTTCTTACGGCGCTGGATGATGTTGTTCAGTTTCATCTTAATGATTTCTTCCTATGAGAGATGAAGAAGTATAACCCTGAGTGAAATAAAATCACTACAGATTTTACCTAAAAATCAGTGAAGAGACTTTGAGAGGAGCTATCAGAGAGGCATCCACCTGCTCCAGCTGCTGATGCTGCTGCAGCACTTCATTGATCAAGGAATCTGAGGAACGCTTTAGACATAACAAAGAACAGAAAAATACAATCTTCATCTCACCTCTGTCATGAGAAATATCAGCTGCAGTTTCAGACTTTGGTTCTTCTGCATTAGTTTCTCTGTGTCCAGGGAAAACTTGCTGATGACGCTGTTGAATGATCCTTTTATGTCTTCATTTCTAAAACATATTATTATGGTTAGGGACTGGACAGATAATAACAAGTATTACTGACTCATTTGTGCTTTATTATTGTTAGATTCCATTGTTGAAAATGATCCAACAACAGGTTTCGTGTCCTTATTGAGTCACTTCTTACGGGAAGGTCTTCCTGAACTTCTCATCGATGCTGTCTGTCAGGTATGAAGCTAACATCTTGTTGAGGTTTATGTATTCTCCTTTCACCGTTGTGTGGACGCCACCTTTCTTAACAACAGCCTTCAACGTGTTGTGAAAACCAAGAGACGTCGGCTGTGACAAAACAGGAAAAGGACACTGTAGATACATTTGGACAGAAAGTCAAATTACTTAAGGTTTATAATTCAAACACGTACAGGATATAAGAAGGACTTCACGTCTCTTTCACATGAACTTTTGGATTTTTTAACCCCCTCAAGAAGGCTTGTTTTAAAAGCCTCGGAAACTACATCCACTGCTTTCTCGATTGGAGCAAGTTGATCTCTTAGATTCTTTTCAAGTTGTGCACACACATCAGTTTTCTTGTCAGCCTGAAATAAAACAAACAACAGATTCATCATTAAAATAATGGAACTATAATTATTCATGACTTTTTCTTCTACTCAGATAGATAGATAGATAGATAGATAGATAGATAGATAGATAGTGCCCTCCCAGGGAGCACAAACACTGGACTGTTGATGACTGGAAGAAGGTCCTCTGGACGAATGAGTCCAAGTTTGAACTCTTCGGTCAGCATCGTCTTGTTTCTGTCCACAGAGAAGCTGGAGAACGTTTTGATGCCAGAACCATCCACAGTGACACACGGTGGAGGTTCCATCATGGTATGGAGCTCCATTAGTGGAAACAGCAAATTATTGAAAATCAACAGTGTCATGATCAAGAACATCTACCACAACATCTTAGTGCTTCATGGAATCCCTTCTGGACTGAGGCCCGTTTACACCTAGCCTAAACGGTGATCCTTCAATGGGCCTTTGGTTACACAGAAATGAAGCTACGGGTCACCAGAAACCATCACATCTGAAAACTCCGACCACAGTGGAGATCTGGAAAAACCCCGTCTTTACATTTGCATGTAGACGGAAGGAGGCGGAGTCTGATGTCACAGTAAAGCGTCATCAGCGTCACATGTGTGCGACCATGTTCACTGTTTGGCTGCTGTGACAGATGAATGCTGGTTTTATGTTTTTACAACGTTTTTGGCCTGTTTGCATTTACATGTAGGAGCAGCTCCACTTCCTGTTGGTCCAAACAAACCACCCCATTCTCGTTGAAGTAACAGGAAGTTTGCGTTGTTGTGTTTTTCCAGGATTCTGATTGGCTAGCATGGCTTTATGCTACACTGTTACACTGCCCCCTGTAGGTCTGGCAGCTCATAGCAGTTCTTAACGACGTGTTGATGCGGGTTTGTGTGAATGAAGATTTCTTTGAAAACGATCTGGTGTGAACGATGTTATTTTTGAAAACGTAGATCTGTTTTTGTGAATACCGGCTACGTGTAAACGTGGCCTGAATCTGATTGGTGGTGGGTTCATGTACCAACAAGACAATGAGCCCAGCAGACTCCAAAGCTGTGCAGAGACCATCTGACCAAGAAAAAGGCATCTGGAGTTCTGGAACTGATGGACCGGCCCAGTCACTGACCGGGTTTGAATCCTATTGAACACATCTGGGACGTCATACAGTCAAAACAGCAGAAAGGTTTCATGTAAAGCAAGTCTGTGGGAACATCTAGAAACTCTGTGGAACTCAGTAACAACAGAGGGACTGTTGAAAAGTTTA